ACTCCACTCAATCCACTGTCTTATAATAGACTGAACCTGATTAAGATCTAGACTATGTCGCCTTCGCTCTATCAAATCAGTTCCACAGTTTATGCATCTCAGAGATACGGATTGGTAAGAAGTCACTTCTTCAGTATGCAGACTATCATGAGACACGCTTTGGTTTTGTTCAATGTCCATATTAAAGCCGTGGTTAGCGATGGAGCTAGTTTCGAGGTCCATATTACCGATTACATGAGTGTTGGTCATCGTTTATGCCTTGATCGGAGTCCATAATACAAAAGCCAGGGTCATCGTTTGAGCGAAATTCGGGGTCCGTAGATGTGCAGGGGTCATTGGAAAAAGATAGGCCGGAGCCCATAATGAATAAACAATCGCTGAAAGAAAATCCATAATAAATCAACACTCAATGTAGGTAAGCAAAGCGAATGTAAACAATCAGTCTGTGACATATCAATGTCAATTTGTATTTTTTTGTTTTATTAGTGTTGCAATAGAAAAAAATCGTTAAAAAATCGATCGAAAACAGATATGATTATGTTTAACATTCTTCATATTTCAGTTTATAAAACGTTTTAAATGACGAAACTAATTAAACACAAATATTATTATTATTTTGTATTAAATACTTATAGTTTTATTAAGTACTGCGGGATGATTCGATTTGACGCAATCGTTGATTGATCTTGCTGGTAACACAAAACGAGGATCAATAAAGCAAATCAATGAAGATACTTAAAAATATTTTTTCAATAAAATACAAATGTACACTCCAACAACAATAGAATGGCTAGCTAAAAAAATTTATTTTTTCATAAACTTGTTTATTTGATAGCAGCTTGTTCACGCTAGGCCAAAAATGGACATTACCCTTTCAAAAAGCCCGCGTCAAAGTTTCAATTCCCACGCTTTTTTTTTTCAGCACGTAAATAACCGTCGAAGAAAATGTCGACAATGTAGAAGTAGTACAAAAATTTATATGAGTACAAAATTTTAAGTACATCTTCATGTTGATTTTTTTAAAAGACATAACTCACGGTAATACAGAATACTGTTACGATAAAAGACTTGCTACTGAAATTCAAGTTCAGTAATTTCAACGTTCCTTAAACGCAACATTTCGCAGAATGTAAACTAATTAATCAATATTTTTTAAATATATATGTTTTTCTTCTTTTAAGTATTTATAAACGTAATAAACATTAAAAACATTATATATGAATTTATTTTTAGCATTGGGAACTAATGGGTTAAGCGCCATCTAGTGGTAGCACGCCCTAGCTAGTAAATGCAGCGACATTTAGCGTACCCGGTGCATAGTAGTTTTCTAAACTGAAACCCACAGTGGCGCATCTATTTCTAATATAGTATATTATGGATAAGAACGTTCGTATGAAATAAAAAATAACTGTTATGAGAAAGAGTTCATATAGAGTTGGTGAGGCTTAAATCATTAGATTCTGTTATAAATATCAAAATATGGATACAACTAGCGCCATCTTGTGGCAATCATGATTCATGTCTTTGTCTATGTTCAATATGTAAATACATATTTTTAATTTACGCGATTTTCGGTCTAGAATGTGTTTTTTACATGGATTGTCATATTTAGACTGTGAAAAACCAACTTTTATTTCCATATTTTACCATATTTCAAAGTTTAAGTCCATGTTTTACAAGAAAATGTCACAATCATCCATATATTCACAAAAATACATAAAATTTCCGTTCCCGCCACTAATGTTTTGGATAAAAATAAAGGATTTAATACGCTAAAAAAATGAACAAATACTGTGCGAAAGTTTCGAGAGCTGTAGACATGGCTTACACAATTACTGAATTAAGCATGTTTAAGTATGCATCCATCACGTCATGTGACTTGAGATGAGACTAGAGCTGTTGCAAACCGTATGTATTCGGTACTGAGTAACGGGTGCGCCATCTAGTACCGAGTAACGAAAAGTTACACATGAATGCATTTCGTTACTCGCATTTTTCGTATAGTACATCCATGTACCGCTGATACGTATATTGGTATTGAATGAAACGTTTCTGATCGTATGTTTTACGCATGCGCGCACTTATTCGTAAAATTTTAAAACTTAGTTACAAATAACGATCTTTGTTTATTTAAGTACAAATTTGAAATTCGTCGTTCAAGTTTTAGATATTGTGTGTGTGTGTAGTGTAGATAAAGTTTGAGATTGAAACAGAAAAGAGGTAAGAAAGTATTTTCTACAAAATACATCTTTATTGTTTTATTTTGTTTAAAATATATTTTTATGTTAAACATTACCACATTTTATTTAATTTTAAGAACAAAACATTTTTGTTATTTTAATTTGGTTTAAAACATGTTTTATTTAATTTTTTTACTTAATTTCATTCAAAGTAAAAAAAATATGTTAATTTTTCATTAGAATGTTGTGATTTTATTGTCAATAAATTATTCTCGAGACCCATTTGTTGCTTTTTTATTTATAATCGATTCATAATAGAT